CGAAAACAAAGATACTGAATTCATTTTAATCCTAAATATACAATAAGCCGATAAAAATTATGTTGAATTAATTAAATGATACAGTATGTCGAAAGGAGATGTTATTGTTTTTACTACGGTACTGTTTTTCAATCACTATGCTAAAGTAGTGTGTGGGGGAGGGGGGAGGATAGGGACAACCACGTCAGTCGGTCGTGAGACTCGAGAGAGTGCTGACTGATTGTGTTTTCTCTTTAGCACCTATAACGTAAGCGTAAGACAGGTTAGTCTACATTTGCTATACTTTTTGTAAAATGGTGAAAGTAGGCCGGTACGACGTAACCAGTATGAAATATTTGGAAGTTTTTTTAATTACTAGAACGTCCAATGTGACACACAAAACAAATCTCCAGTTGTTTGTTTCGATAGATTTGCAAATATACAATTTATCAGAAAAAGTACTTTATATATCATTAAAGTTCCATTAGTAATTATTTTTTGAAATTGATAAATCACATTTTAAGCATTTTTATAGGTTGGGGGCGTTTACATTTTTTTTTTATTCACATCATGAGAGCCTCAGACTAAGAGTTTGGGAACCACTGTACTAGATCACAGTGAAACGTAATGGTGGGAAATGGGTGATATAATTTGGGAATAAACTTTTTTTGCCCACTACTGATATTTTTCACATAAACTTAATTATATAAAAAGGGAAACCAAGGACAGAGTAACATAGAACCAGCTCAAGTGGTATTGTATTTGAGCTACGTTGGAAGGAACTAAGATAAATATATAATGCTCCATTTTATTGTACCCAAGTGTACATTAGTAGTGTACCCAAGTGTACATTAGTAGTGTACCCAAGTGTACATTAGTAGTGTACCCAAGTACACTAGTGTACCCAAGTGTACATTAGTAGTGTACCCAAGTACACTAGTGTACCCAAGTGTACATTAGTAGTGTACCCAGGTACACTAGTGTACCCAAGTGTACATTAGTAGTGTACCCAAGTGTAATACATTACAACAAAATATATTCATTTTAAACCTCTGTTTTGTCAAAAGATTGGAAACACTGACCTGTTAATGTAATTTAATCGTTTTATTGATTTAGACCAGACTCGTTCGTGGAAATATATCTAGTGTTAATAAACTTCCGGGCAATTATAAAAACGACGATGACCCTTTTTTTCAAATTCTTTTAACATTACATTTTAACTGGAAATAGATTCTGTGGTTCTGAACTTGAACCTAGGACCCCAAGTACCGGCCCGGCATGGCCAGATGGTTAGGGCGCTCGACTCACAATATGCGGGTCGTGGGTTCGAATCCCCGTCACACCAAACATGCTCGCCCTTTCAGCCGTGGGGGCGTTATAATGTGACGGTCAATCTCACTAAAAGAGTAAAAGAGTAGCCCAAGATTTGGCGGGAAATGGTGATGACTAGCTGCCTTCCCTCTTGTCTTACACTGCTAAATTAGGGACGGTTAGCGCAGATAACCCTCGCGTAGCTTTGCGCGAAATTCAAACCAAACCATTCCCAGAGTCCGTTTTCACTTGAAATTTAATGTTACGTATTGAACTTTGTTTTCAACAGATTTTTTTTTCTTAATTTGAAAACTTCCTAATTATCTAGTGTTTGACTAGTTGGATATGAACGTCTCTTCTAGAGATAAAGATTATTTTCTGTACTTCCAGGGACTTGTCAGCTCTCATGGTCCTTCTATCTGATGGGTAGTGGTGTCGTCCTGCTGTTCTTTTGTGCCGTCTTGTCACTCTGGGCATCACGAATCAAGCCCCACTCCTACCGGATATGACCTATGAGTAGGAGCTTTGTGAACGTCTAATGTTCGTGTGAATGACGTGTCTGGTATCGTAGAGACAACAAATAAATGTGACGGATTTCAACACTGTATTCTTTACGTCGGTCAAAAAAAAACTGCCATACACAAAGTGACGACGGAGTGATTTCCTAAAAACGTGTTTTCTTCGATTACAACGTGTTTGTTAGGATAAAAACTCAATAATTTGAAGAATAAAGAACTGTATAACTGATACAGGATTATGTTCTGCATAATGTACGAAATATCGATAGCAAATCAATTATCAAGTTTGAGTTCATTATAAAAAAATCAAAAGCAACGTTTGTTATACTATTATAGAAGTGTTTTAATACATTAGTAGAAAAGAGTTAGCTGTGTTTTATATACAATATATGAAAATAAGACAGCATTTTTATTTATCACCCAAAAGATAAAATATGTATTTTAAGTGGTAAATACAGGCTCAAACAGTTTTCCAGGACATTGATTTAAATAATCTTTGTTATCGAGAATATGCGGAATCACGCAAAATATAACAACTGGTGCTGAGTGTTCTTCATGATTATATAGAAAGTTACAGTTAAATCAGTACTTTATTTGCCCTAACCTGACTATTTCACGTTATTCGACGTCGTAAAATTAAAAAAAAACATAAAATGCAGATTAAAAAACACGTAAGATAAAGAAACATTTGATAAACTACTAAAAAAACAAAAAAAAAACGACGAATCTCTAGTGCTTCAGACTGGTGGGCCTGTCTTCTTTACTGAAGAAGGCAACACCACCTGTCGGAAGCTCTCGAGTTTTAATTATATTTGTTTTCTTACGTCGTTCACAATGTTTGTGTTTAACGTTTTTAGGAGACCCCCCCCCCTTCATAGGGCAGTTTACATGTTTATTTTATAACATTTTATTTTTGTAAATTATAATGGATTGTAAAAATATTTGGTATTAATTAAACGTAGCAATTTTTGTTAAGATTATGATTATGGTAACAGTAATTAAATAGGCTAACAACATTTTCATCAGACTTTGATTGATTAACGCCAGAATCACTTGCGAGGACAGGGCTCCATCGGCTTGTTTTAAACAGTTTTCGAAACTCTTTATGCATTAAACAGCTCGTGCGTTTACGACTTAACGACTGAGTTGGTTACATCGTCTTCAGTGTGGTATGAGCCACACAAAAAGAAAATATATAATAATAACATCAATATTGTAAGTAATCCTACCAATTACTGCTGAAGTCCTTATCGTATCGTATATAGCAGGGGTCACCAAACTACGGCCCGCGGGCCGAATCCAGCCCGCGACGTCAGTTCATCCGGTCCGCCGCTGCACTGTGCCACAAGTGAGCTAAAATATAATTATTTATATGGAAATATCAAAGATTGTAGATAAACTTACTATGTAAATAAAATAAATCAGTTTAAGTAAAAATGTCCAAATTTGTCCAATCTGATTTTTGCATCTGACAGTAATATAAGTTTTAGGAAAATCAGTGAAATAAAATATTCGGCGACTTTTTTGCGACCTTGGATATCACAGCGCTTTTTGTTTAAGTACCTGCAATGAAGTTTCCAAGAAAAGCCATTACGAGCCTGCTGCAGCGATCGTGTTTTAACTTGCATTGCCGTGTTTAAACCGAGAAATAACTGAACTTACGAAAAAATAATAAGGAAAAATACTTTCCATCTATTGAGAGATAAGTGAACCTCCAAGTATTTTCCTTATTATTTCTTTCTTCATCTATTGAGAGATAACTGAACCTCCAAATATTTTCCTTATTATTTCTTTCTTCATCTATTGAGAGATAACTGAACTTC